TATATTATGACCTTTATTTTAACATGGATAAGTGGATTGGAATAGAAACCAAGCTAAAATTGAACGTCGGTTCTCGAGCCGCCGGGGGCGGCTTAACGTACTGACGGCACTTGAGCCGCGCCGCCCCCCCACGGCTCGGCGTAGCGAATGAGTTAATGGTTTGACCACCTGTCAAGACTACCACCAGGCAGTTACATATATATAGCAGACAGAGCATGCAACCAGAAATGAGATGGAAACAGAGTCCTGAAGAGGCAGGCCGGAGGAAAAATGGATGGGGGGTGGGGGGGAAGTCAGAACATTAATGAAGAACAATATATAATATATGTATATAACCACAGAACAAATCATATAACAAACAAGAGAAAGATATGAGGTGCTCTTGACACCCCAAGGTAACAGAGGCTGGAAAAAGTAAAAGTAAAAGACCATGTAAAGTTATAAAACTACACAACACATCATGAATATAAATTAGGCCATTATGACACATTTCTGAATTTTTGAAACCACAAAAAAAGAAATTTCACTCGTAATGTAAAAACATAACCCAAGGTAAGAATACTAGTCATAATTGCCTGAGCTTGCTAAGACTTGAAACTGGAAATACAGTGGAACCTGTCATTACAGCCACCTGTATAATACGGCCACCTGTACAAACTCATGCCACTTTCCATTTCCCCCCTCACACGTTTTTCGATATATATCTGTCCAACGCGGCCACAGCCGCCCTTTTTTTATCTGCTGAAAACGAAAAGAAAAACGTGTCTGAGAATGGCCACACAAATCTCTCATCGCCTAATGCTTTGTCAAAAATTTTGTATTGTTTCCTGACACTGTCACTGTGGACGAGCCATCATAATCCATTTACCTGTCGTTATTGTGTCTCTCCAATGCCTGGTTGAGTAGCTCCCACCCACTGTTGTTTACCCAAGTTGACTACCCTGTAATAATAAATTTTAAGCTGCTGGTGAGGGAAGTGTGTGATCCGTCTTTACCTTTAAGCCCTGCCCTCAACTCATACACAATTTGTAAGTGAGGTGACCGGTCACAGTTTACTAAGTCTTTAACAATACTGCCGTCAGCTGACAAAACGTCTTTTTTTCATTTTGGCGCGAAAATTTTTAATTTGATAAATCGATAGTCTGACCTGTTACCCAACTTGTGTGAAAAAATCAAAGTGAAAGTGTGACTAGTTTTTGAATAAATTAACATTCAAATTTCGGAAGAACGCCTTTTTTAAATGGTTACGCTGACAAAACGCCTTTTTTTAAAGAGTTCGCTGACAAAACGCCTTTTTTTTCGCCGCGGCTTTGGAAAAAAGGCGTTCTGTCAGCAAACTCTGTTCAAGGCAAAAGCTGACAAAACGCCTTTTTATTGTCTTGTTCCAACACTGTAACAGTGATTCTCGTCTTGAGTGTGATCTCCCCACGTCCACCCCCCTTCCCCCAAACACACATATACACACAAACTATCTGTCTCTCTCACACACACACACAAACACACACACACACACACACGTTACAAACACACACACACACACATTATAAACACAAAAATAAACAGACACACTCTCAGACACAAACAGACACAAATACAGGCATGCTCACACAGACACACATTTTCATAGACACACACAGACACACTCACACAGCAGACACACACTCTCAAAGACACACACAGCCACACTCACACACACACACACACACACACACACAGACACTCACACAGATGAACACAGACACAATCACACACACAGAAAGACATACACACTCACACAGACACATACAGACAGACAGACAGACAGATAGACAGACACTCACACACACACACACACATATGCACACTTTTAAACACTCATGTAGACATAAAGACACATCCACACGCACTAACAC